TCACCACACGATATTTATGGTTTACACAATACCTTTTGCTTTGTTTGTAATCCCGTGTTTGTGTGTGTGCTCTCCGTGTGTCGTCCGTGTGTGTTCTCCGTGTTCTCCGTGTGTGTTCAAAAACTGTATGGGCCTTCCGGCGGAACCTCTCACCAACAAACATAGGTTCCTACCTTTATAGCCACAGTTAATTGGCTCCTACAACTGTGTTGTGTGTTTTTTAAGGATGTTCCAGTGTGACCTGCATATCTCGCCAAATCTAATGTTTGTGTACACTGGTAGTCAAGGCTGTTTGTGGTCGTAAAGAAACGGGTCAAATGACCTGGCCAAGACAAATCCCGGTAAGAAACATTGTGATTGATTTAACCAAATAAGTGAGGCGGATATGTGTGTGTGTGTGTCATCATTTTAAAATCTCACTGTTTCCCCCTTTATAAATATAATACAATAGTTTTCTAATTAAAAAGGGGACAGCAGCATTAAAAAAAAAGAAGGTCATTTTTGTGGTTTTAAAGGTCTCCTATTATACTATTTTTAGTCATATTTTATAGGTCTCAGATATATTAAAAAACATGTCTATGAAGCGTTTTGCTTAAAATACCAAACAGATCACCGTTCTAGCCATGCCTCATATCCCTCTTTTTCAGCCCTGTTAGAGAAGTGCTGATTCTGGGTCCGGAGATTTATAAAAAATAAAAAATAAATAAAAAGTAACGTCTTCATGACCGTAGCAAATCTGGATCAGCTCTGTTGTACCCCCGTTCTTTTAGATTTGGGTATCGAGGGAAAGAGAGAGGGTTTTGTTTTCTGACACTTTGGGGACATATATTTATTTATAAAATACACCTAAAGTGCATTGTGCATGATAGGGGACCAACACTGGAGTCGTGTGGTTTTGAAGTATGATTATTGTGGAAGTCGCCTCAAAAGCGCTGAATCCTTATGATTTGTTTCTAGTCAAAGTCTCCAAAGGAAGTGAATATTACTACACTGCTTGTGTGTCAAGTCACCTGTTCGGCCGTGTAGAGCGGCTCGTCGCTGATGCAGGAGACGATGATGGAGTGCATGTCCATCTGCTCCCTGAGCTCCTCGTCGTCAGACAGGTCCAGAGACTGGTTGTCCAACTTCTGTTCGATGGGAGATGGGGGAGGCAGTGGAGGGATTTGAGGGGGAGGGACCGAAAGTGAGTGGGAATTGGATGAGACAACAAACAGGTGGTTAAGCAGATTGAAGCAAACTGATTACATGTAAGGCTCTTCTTCTGCAAGGTTCAGGAACAGTGCAGGATTATGGAAATGTAGCCGGTTTACTGGCAATTACTGTGTCAGGGATTCACAAGGATGAACATTTGGACGTAAAAGACTAATTTGGTGGCGTCTGGCACTTTTTAATACCTCCAATCCATCCTATATTCTGATCTTAATTATCGCATGTTTCATAAGCTTGCCTACCTGATTGAAACAAGTGAATTAATGTAAAGGAGGAGAACAACTTCAAACTTAAACCCGGGATAAAATGTGTGACGTGGCACTTTTTCTCCATCATCGTGCTGACGCTGTTTTGACGCAGAGGCTGGTTGTTGTAAAATATAATGTTAATAAACTCAAAGCATAATAAAATATATATTGTATTAACGTGGACTCAAATGAGCAGTCAGTGCGAACGCAAGCTTCTGCTGTGTCACAGTGAAGGACTGTGTGTGTGTGTGTGTGTGTGTGTGCGTGTTACCTCGTGCTCAGTGATGTTGAGGGTGGGAAGGTGTAGTGAGCGAGTGTGTGATGTCTTCCAGTCCACCGCCATCACATTGCCATAATTATCTGTCAGAGCGTTCCACACCCTGGAGGAAAGAAAGAGGGGTTCAAGATCTCATGGATTTGTTTTTGTATTTATTTAACCAGAAGTCTCATTGAGATTACACAGAGCTGCCTGCTTCCCGGTCACTAAGATTCACTTTAAAGGGGACCTATCATGCAAAATGCACTTTTGTACATCTTTTATACATGAATATGTGTCCCCGGTGTGTCAGGGAACTCACCAAGCGTCAGAAAACACAACCCTCTCTTTTCCTCCATACCCAAATCTCTAAAAACGGGGCTGCAACGGATCTGATACAGACTGATCCATATTTGAAATATCTCTGACGTCAGAAACAAGGAGCTCCGCCTATATGGGCAACTCTCCACCTATCAGGGGAATGAGAGGTTGCCGTGGCATGGTAACAGCATGGTAACAGCATGGTAACAGCATGGTAACATGACGCTCGTGCCCTCCTTTGCAGGGGGGCGTGGTCAGCTGCAGCTCATTTGCCACAGAATCAGCCCTTGCAAAAATAGGGCTGGAATACAGCAAATAGAGCGAAATGAGGCATGGCTAAAATGCATGATCTGTTTGGTATTTTGAAAAAAAAATTCA